CCAGGAGTTGGGATGTCCAGACTTGAGTCCTAGGCAGTCTTCATGCCTCAGCTTAACCCTGTACAGCAAGAGCAACAAAACCCCACAATTTTAAGGATTCAGTAAGATAATATACACCAAGCGCTTGGTACTGGGAGTAACAATGACAATGATGATAATAGCAGGTGACCTCACAGAGGGCTTACCATGTGCCAGGCCCCATTCCAAGCTCTTGATAAATGTCAGCCACAGCCATCAGTGTTGTTAAANGAGAGGCCGTCCAACGGCCGGTGAGCGACTGCCTCACCCAGGAAGAGTGCAATGATAATACCAACATGGGCCAGTGAAGCGAAGTCCTCCACCACTAGACTGAAGAACAAAAGGACAGCAACTTGTCTGTTCCCCTCCCCCAATTCCCCAATAAAATCTTTTAAAAAAAAAATTTCAGGGGTTTCAATGAAGGATACAATCTTTATGAAAGGGCCAAGGGGCATGATTTTACATGCCCTCCCATCTTCGTATACTCAGGTCCAAAGAAGTAATGCCAGCTGTCTTGCCTTATAAAAAGGATCTGTCACTCAATAGATTTTATTAATATTTTATTCTGAGGGAAATCTCTCTCCTTTTTCCCAGACCAACTACAGTGGCACTTTTCAATTTAAATCCTACCTTAGTTGAAGTCCAAAAGAAAGTAGTTCCCTGGATGGATGTAAGTATTTCTGGAGTTTTCGCCACTAGCTGTTACTCCAGGTTATCCAATCAACCTTGGTTTGCTTCAGTGAACAGTTAATAGCCAGGTCACCAGGGTGGGGACTAACAAGCCCCTGGCTTCTCTAAGCTCCCCAGTCAGTGCAGCTTCTAGCATTTAAATGCCACAAAAATAAGAGATTTACCCTAATGGCAGTCTCTTTGTTCCAAACTCCACCATGCCTAGAGCCTCCTTGCATTTTAATTAGGGCAAATAGTACATTCCCATTCCAGGCTGAAATCCAAAGTTCCCTTGGCTTTACTCGTAGGTGGCACAGCTTAAAAGAGAAATTCTTTTGTTTTTTGCTCTTCATCTGCCAGAAACTGCGGAGAGGGGCAATATGGGAACTCAGGGGAGGAAGAGGAATATCCCAGGTAACATTTCTCCACCTGGCTACTCCCTCTGTGTGTCTGTGTGTGTGTGTGTGTGTGTGTGTGTGTGTGTGTGTGTGTGTGTGTGTGCACGCTTTTTTTTCCCTACCTTCTCTTTGCAAGCCAGGATGTTAAGGCATGGACCAGCTGGCTATGTAAGGCTCCACTTTTTGCTTCCTGAAACCCAGACTAGGAACGGTGCTAATTGGTCCCATTTATCCTCCTTTTTTGTCCTCCCACCTAATTTATCTTAGGCCAAGATCATAATCTTCTCATAAAAGGATAGTCACAAAGAGGCTGCATGGGACGGGTCCAAGATACACATTTTTCCCTTTCTCCTCACACAAAAACGTCTGATCAGAAGTGCTGGGCATTTAATAGAGGCACATAGGACATGAGGAATAAAATGGAAAAAACTCAGACACTGCAGCTAAATTATCGGTAAGTCAGTTTGTTCTAGCGATACTCATGTGACTGGGAAGATAGATGCCACTAAAAACCAGTTCCCATGCAGCTTTTTTTCTGGCTGAACTTCACTATCTGCTATGCATGGAGACAGGCCTACATATTCCGCATTCACCACTGATTCCAAACTTTTGCATGTTTAAATAAAACTGATCAAATGTCTTGCTTGCTCAATTCCATTTCATTCATGTGTTATCCATACTAAAGAAAGTTTGATATACTAAAACTGTAGCCCAAAATAGGTTCAGGATCTGATTGGTGGAAATTAATAATCTAGAGAAGCATTTTTTTTTAGAGTCGATAAATGAGAATTTGATGGACAGTTCATTTCTATATTGTCAGATTAAAAAGTACCAGATGGCCACTCATTTTATATAAGGGCCACCTAGCCAACTTATAGCTTTCTTCAAGTGGGCACCACTGATGTAGGGCAAAACTGAGTAAGTGCTTTGGGGGAGACTTACAAGCAAATGAGGGAAGATCGAACAAAAAAATTATTGGAACTAGTGCCAGGATTAAGATGAGACAAGTATGGCAGTCATGCAAGTGTTGGTTAGATCTTGTTTTTAAAATACTAATATTTTGTTCAAGGATTTTTTCTTTGCATTATTTTCATTCTATAAAATAATTTTAAAATATATTTTTTAAATTGATTTTCTAATTTAAAAAATTGTAAACCTAATTTTTTTCTAGATATCCATTTTTCTTCAAGACGGTCATTATACTTTGGTATGAGGCAGAAGTATTTTATGCATATTTCCCGATTTGCCACAGAGGGTATTAAAGAAATATACTTAAGAATCAAGATTTAATAAATGTATTAATTTTTACTTCTTCATCAGGATATTAAGTGAAATTAACTTGTTTTAGTATAAGTACATGGTGGCCATAAATTTTACTCACAATTACTTTTGTACCATCAATGCAAATGCCAATGCAATGAAAAGGGCAAATAACATCTTAGAATTATTATGAAAATCATTCTGACCGCATAGACCCCTTGAAAGGGCCTTGGGAAACCCCAGAGATCTATAGACCACACTTCGAGAACTACTGCCTTCAAGGATAAGGTTTTAACATTAAGTCAAAACCATTATCAATAACAAGCCTCAGTCAGATGGGGGCAACATAATTATGACTAACCCCAGTTAGTTTTGCAAAAATGAGTGGTGCAGACTTGAAGCAAATTAACCCATTTGTCAATAGTATAAATAGTTCTGAGCAATCTTTGAGGCTAAAGGTAAAGTATGAACAAGATATGAAAGAATCTGAATGCCACAAATATAATCAATGACCGATGCCATGGCCGTTTCAGGGCAAATGAGTAGAGAAACGCCACCCCCCCCC